TTCTACTTGCCAGTATAACCTGTTAGCATATGCATTCATTAAGGCTATTTCTACAGGCACACACACACATATATGTATATGTGTATAAGCTTTTATTCATTGATGTACAATATCCGCATAAGTTTGCATGTGTGTCTGTGTGAGTTTGTATATTAAGGGTAGCAAAAATATATGAATCAAGAACCAGTGAAACTTCCATTTCGAGCTTCATTCTTAAAAAAAATTAAAACGAAACGGAGCCACACACACAGAAAACAGGTTCGACACACAAGCGAACAAAGCAGCTCACGACCTGCGCAGAAGTATGAAATGGAGTTTTAATCGCAAAGTTACTCAATGAAAAAGCTTTTAGGGAGGAGTTGTAACCAGTCGCCGCTGACTCCATTCGCTTGCTTGCCTGCCTGCCTGTCTGTATTTGTATTTGGCTGTATACATACATTTGTCCTAGATTTGGCAAGCATTTTACAGAATGAAAATGCACAGAGGGTCTACCAAAGTAGACGAAAAACGACGTCATAGCTATGTCAAGGACTAGCTAGTGGCAGCCACAGCAGCTTGCAATGCGACAAAGCGCATTTGTATATATCTATCCCCATTTATGTACATATGTGTATACATATGTATGTATGTGCATGCTCGCACTCAAGGTAGGACGCACACGTCAGCATGTCTGCCCAAGGATATTAATGTGGCTGCTTTACATGAATGAAATGCGGTTTGCCTGCAATTTCTACTATCAGGGCTGCGACAGATGCATTAATGCAATTGGAATTTCGAAAAAAGCTTTCTGTAGCCCTGGTGGCAACTTTAAAAAAACGCAGGCTTAGCGTTGCCACTATGATAGATACATAAGTATGTGTGGCAAAACATATAAACATACATATAACACACATATATACACAGTCAAATGATGAAAGTGCTAAACACATACACATATGTACATACATTCACACAACTCCACTGCAGACGGACAACAAAGCCTGCCTCAAGCAAAAATTAAAAGTCCCAAATCAGAAGCGAAATCCTCAATTGACAAACTCCAAACAGAGCGCATGCGTATGACAGAGAAAATGAGAGTGAGAGTGAGAGAGACAAAGAGAAGCGGACACCCAGCGTCTGTATGTGTGCAAAGTAATAGGAGCTAGTCACTGCTGTCAAGTGTTCCAAACATTTGTCTATGATCTGCATACGTACGTGTGTATACATATGTATGTATGTATGTGTATTATATGTTAGTCCACAAATATACTTGTTAAATAAAATTATGTTATATGCGCTAGCTTCTAACATACATAATGCACATACATACATATATTAATTTTTGTACACAGTACTGTAAAATGTAAAATTACTGTTGTCAATACAACTTTTATCGTATTTGTTGATGTAGAGGATAAAAAATACCGAAACGAGTTGCAGAAAGACCTACACAAATTTACGTGCATGCATGAATTTATAAATATACAAGTATATTTGTAGTTTAATGAATGGAAATTCAATGCAAAATGCAAATCAAAGCCGTTTGTAAATACAATACATTCATTCCAAGCAGAAAATGTCGAACCAAAGGCATGAATGAAACTACAAGAACCTTGATTCTGTTATTGTGTGTATTTTATTATTATTGTTTCTGTTTTTGTTGCGCAGACGTTGGTGATACTCAAATTGCAAATGGCAAACAACCTGGCTAAAGTGATTTGGCTCTAGCAATAGATTTAGACATTTGTCTCCGCCTTTGCCTCTGCCACTGCCTGTTGTAAATTGTTCAATATGCGGCACATAGAGAAGCAAGCAAACGCGCAGGGCATCAGCGAGTGACATCATTTTCAATGGGGGCGCTACACTTTAAACAGCAAGAAAAACAATTAGAAAACAAAAAAAAAAACATAGTTGCTAGCATTCCATTTCATTCATTAAAACTGGCGACAGACAGACTATGTGGAGACGTTGACACGGCGGTTCACCATACACAATACATATGGAGCCATGTGTGTATGTTGTATGTATGTATGTTTGGCTGTGTGCACATACATAAATATTGCATGTTTAAATAAATATGTACATATATATATGTGTGTGTGTTTGTTTGATATACGGATGTCTTGGATTGACCAGACAAATGAGTCACATTTCATTCATGCCTAACTTGCCTTGAATAATGCCGTATTTCATTCAGAAATGTTTGTTTGTATTTTCGTTCAATTAAATTGTATTTTTGCGCTTGGTAAATTGGCAACAATTGTTTAAATTAAATTGGGAGCGGGAGCAATCAAGGCACGTATGTTACGCTTACCATTGATCTGGCAACGCCGTCAACTTAAATGTTTATTTAAATAATATTTTTACGACAGAGTTTCGACTTACCTTTCATGTCCTTCTGTCATGATTTGTTATCAGAAAGATTCTAATATAGCAGCGAATAGTGTCGGTGTTGTTCTTGTTGGTGGCAAAATACACCATGATTAAAGCATAAAGACATTCAGAGCCTGCTGCTGCACAAACTTCCGAAAAACAAGTGCCAACAACAACAAAAAGTGTAACTGTAATTATTACAGTTACGCTGACTTTAGACGAGAAGTTAACTGGAGTACTTCAATTGTTGTTGATGGTCGTTTCAGCTGACTTGTTGTAGTAGTAGTTGATGTTGTTGTTGGTGATGCGCTTCGTTGCTTTGTTGTTTTTCTTTACGTTTCGTTTGCTTTTTTTTTTTTCTTTTTTTGGCACAATATGAAAGACGACTCGAACTGCTTTGCAACTGTTTGAAAACTCGTTGAGTGTTAGACACAATTTAAACTACGAAGAGAGAGCAGGCCCCGTTATGTGTAACTAAATGCGAAAATTATGTTATAATTTTTGATAAATGCGATTTCTTTTTTGCAATAGCAGCAAAGCAGCAGACGGCGACGAACGGGCGACTTTTAGTTTTTCAATACACTCGCAAAATCACACACATTCGCACACACTATGTGGGCGTGTAGACAAACACTGTGGAAAAACTTCATGGAGCAAATATATGTCCGAATTTTTCCAAGCAACAAAGATGTAACAGGCATCATCTCAAAAAGAGCAAGAGAGCGCGCACGCAAGGCTGAGCCTGTATCGAAATCGAGAGCGCACCAGCCCCAGCTAAAACAACAACAAAACTCCTGTATACAAAATTATTGCGCCTATTGGCTAGTTGTTACTTTCCAGTAAACATGACAAGTGGCGTGGACAACATTCCTTTCGATTTTAGACCCTAGATTTTATAGTTAGCGAAAGCATGAAAACTTATGACAAAAAATCACTTTCTGTTGAAAACGAAAATTTCATTCATATATTTTATCAAGGCTACAGGCGCTTTGGTAGCTCTCTCTCTCTCTCTTTCTGGCACTGCGTTTTGGAGCACTCGCGCTCTTAGACTCTCACTTGCTGCTTGCTATGAGAGTGTCGCTTGCGCATATACAAAAAAAGGTAACACACACACTCAGCCACGCAGAAAGTGAGGTAGAACATTTTTTGGGCGATTTCTCCATGTATACACATAGTATATATAAATACATACATAGATGTATATATATATATAACATATATTCTTTTTATCGCCTATCCTGCAGCTTTTCACACACATACATATGTATAATATTCACATTCAAGTATATCACTTGGAATAACACAACAAATACATATTTTGTAGCATTTTGGTATTGGTAACAGTTTGTTATGGCATTTCGGTTGCTTTTGTTTCATTCTATTTCATTACTTCGTTTCCTTTTCCTTTCGTTTTTGCACTACGAATTTAGGTTAGTATATGTTGAATTTTTGACTTAGCGCACAGACATAACGACCGTGAAGGAGGTGGCAGGTGCGGGCGCGGATGCGTGCGGAGCAAAGATGGGGAGACATGGTGTATCGGAATTTTTCTCTATTGGATAACAGCTTTTCGCATTTTATGCCATTTATCACGTTTTTGCAAGTGCACACACATTTCACCAATTACTTTGTGGCAATTTATTTGATTCTTTGTACTTTTTTTACAACCTGTCTCTTTGGAGACAAAAGCAATTTTGATCTCAGGTGGCAACTGCGTATGGTATTGAAATTTTGTGTTTGCGTTTAGGTTTGTTATTTGTTATGACTTATTATTATTGTAATGAGTTTAATTAAATTATATGTTTGATTTTTGTCTTCATTTTTATTACTTTTGTGCAGATTATACACCTACTACTTCTTCGTTTGGAAAAAAAGAATGAATTTCCAAACAGATATGTTACTTAACATAACTTGGACAATAACATTACATTTTCCAAGCTGTTAATAACAGCAAAGAATATGTATTTAAAAACCTATCGACGTAATTTGTGAAACCAAAAAGTTCAGATGCTCAAAGACAATGCTATATATTATAGTTTTTGGCAAATAAATA